TCTGCACTGACAAGAAGGGAGTTCCCCAGCCTGTAGGTATGGTGCTGGTTCTTCCTCCCCAGGTGCAGTACCCTGCACTTGTCAGTGTTGAAACCCATCCTGTTCTCATCTACCCACCCCTGTAACCTGTCTAGGTCCAACTGCAGCCTATTCCTCCCTTCTAGCATGCCCACTTCTCCCCACATCTTAGTGTCACCTGTGAATTTGAACAGGGTGCTTTTTACCCCCTTGTCCAAGTCGCTGATGAACATGTTGAACAGTGCGGGCCTGAGGACCGAATCCTGGGGGACCCCACTGCCCACATCCCTCCAGGTCGAAAATGACCCGTCCACCACCACTCTCTGGGTGCGCCCCTGCAGCCAACTAGTGACCCATCTGACTGTGTAAGTGTCAATGCCACAGTCTCTTAGTTTTTTAATGAGAATGGGGTGAAAGACAGTGTTGAAGGCCTTCCTCAGGTCCAGAAAGACTATGTCCACTGCTACCCCTGCATCTAAGAACAACAGGGAAGACATCAAGATCTTCCCCTCAGGCAAACTTCAGCAAACTCAGTTGTAAGCAGCCTCCAAATATTAATTCATGCAGGTAAACAACTTGGGGTAGTCAGTAGCATCTAACACTATTTCCAGGACTGCACAAATGTTAAAGGCCCTAAAATTCCCCATGAATTTCAGGTGGACTGTCCAGTCCTCAGCCAGTTCAATTATTTCCAGTTTTTTAGTTGGTGAACAATTTCATCTTACTGTCATGGGGGAAGCACTGATTAACATCTTAGTACTATCCTCAGAGAGGTTTTGGGTCCCAGATCTATGCAGTGGGGATTGTACGTTACAGTTGACTGACTCACAGGGGGTGTGTACAGAGGAGTTCATATCACTGTTTTATCAATATTGCAAAAACACCTCTCTTGTAACAACAGCTTAACCCCCTTGGCTGCTACCGCCTGGGTCTACTGGTTCCCCAGCACCAGTCATAACAGGATGTTCATTCCATTCAGTAAGCTCTTTTCTCCACCTCTTTTTTTTAGGTGAGGGTAGAACTAGACTGATAGGCTGTCTGTAATCCAACTAGATAAATTGGCAACAGCAGTGCAGACTTTCCCCTACCCTGCTGTGCCACAAACTGGATTTGGGAGATGTCTCTTCTAAAAATGAGAGTTTACAGGCCTGTTTATTCCTTGGCTTTTTTCCTGAGAGTCACAGAGGGGGGTGGCACAGAAATAGCACCAGCTGTGAGACTATTTCTTTAAATCTTCAATCAAATCACAGACTTAAGCAACGTGAGGCCATGGCCAACTTCAGTGTTAATGTAGCTGGCAGCCATGGAGGTAACACAGAAGGGTACTGAGAGGTGCTTCAATTCTGTGGTAATGAGCAATCTCCTTGTGAGATAAAATAGACACGTTTATTAGACAGATTGGATAAAGAAGCACTCCTTCCCTTATATGCAGGGATTCAGAGAAGATGTCTGAGAATGACCGTTAATCTTCTCTGCTACTACAGCAGGTGGGAGGACTTCCTCCTGGTAAACTACCATCCCCAGGTGGCTGTACCTGAGTTGTAATACCCCCTGTTCAGTGTTTTGGGCAACAACAGCAAAATGGCAAAGATGTGATAATGGACCTCTAAAGAAATGGTTACAGCTGTTTTTTTCACGAGCATGGGCAAGAGTGATGTGTAGCCTGGAGTCAACAGCACCAGTTTCCCCTCATCCAGCTGAAGGCTTAGGAATTACCCAGCTGAAGTCAACAGAGATACACTGGGGTAAAACTGAGATCAATCCCACCTGTAAAATGCTGCGGTACTCCCTCCTCCCTCCCACCTCCTCTTTCCTCACCTCTCCAAGCATGATGTGCAACTGGAATATCTGCCCTTCACCTTCCACCTGCCGGACACAGATCTTGCAGGTGAGCTCTGTTGAAGACTGGCTGTACCTCTCTAGGGTGAAGGTACAGTGCAGGGCCCTTTGGCTGCCGCTCCAGATGTGATAAAAAGGAATCTCCTGCAGCAAGGTGGGGAATGAAGTATAATATAACCACAGGCCTCAGCAACTCTTCCCCTGAGTAAAGCCCCATCATACACCCTCCCTTCCTCACCCATTTGTGTAAACTTAATTACTATTATTTCTTTGTATTTAAATTACTGTTTAAAAAAATGCCTACACAGAAGCTCTAGGGTAAAAACTGATTTATGACAACCATAATAACAATCACCTGGCTAATTAAAAACCCTGTCAGATTTCCTTGTAAACTATCTTCTAGGCTTCCTAGCTTCTGCCCTGACTGGCAAGAGAAGAGGATAATTTTGTGCTGGCAGCTGGGAGGGTGGGATAGAGTGAGCTGGCAGACAGGGTCTCAGCTGCCATGTCGAAAGACACAGAGTCAGATATGGTAAGTAAAAATAATCCTTTTTCTTCCTCTAGGAGACAGGTGTAGAAGGCAGAGGAATATAGCTCTCTTAGAAGTTACTTGTGTGTGTATGTGGGTGAGCCCTAGTGCCTGACTAGAGTGGATCATATACCAAATTACTAGATCAATGCTTTGAACATTAACTCTTTAATTCCCATCATAGACATGGTCCTAGATCGGGGCAGGCAAAATATGGCCCACGGGCCAGATCTGGCCCACCAACTGATTGGATCCAGCCCATGGCGTGTGTCCACCAATTGGTTGGATTCGGCCTGCGGCTGCCCCCAGAGTGCTCTGCATGGGCTGATCCCTGCCTGAGGCAGCCAGTGCCATGCTCCTTCCCGTGTCTGCTGGCCCCAATCCTGGCCAGTACACACAGCTTATTGGTGGGGCTGATACCAGTGTGGCTGCAGCTGCCTGGGTACTGCTCAGCTACCCTTGCCTCCAGTAGCAGCTCCTCCTCCTCCTCCTCCTGCCCCTACTACGCTGCTCCAAGTGGAGAGGAAGCTTCAGTTGGGTGGCTCCTACCCCAGTGCATGGGGCTCCAGCTCCAGCTCCCAGCTGCCTTCCACTTAGTCTCCCTCCCAGCATGATAAGCAGCCATCCGTGGGTGGCTAAGTGGGTGGAAGACAGCCAGGAGCTGCAGCCAGAGCCCTGCAGGCTGGAGCAGGAGCCACCCCACTGAAGCTTCCTCCCTGCCCAGAGTGTGCAGCAGGGGCAGGAGGAGGAGCGGCTGGGGCTGAGGGGATTTGAGGAGCACACAGGTGGCTGCAGGTGGACTGGGAGCAGCCCTACTGGTAAGCTGTGTATACTGGCTGGAGTCAGGCCAATGGGTGCAAGTGGGAGTATGATGTGGGCTGTCCCAGGTGGGCCACTGCCTGGGTGAGCTCTGCTCCACCTGGGTGAGCCCCACTGCTTCCTTCTTCCTCCTGTCACACTCAGCCAGCTTCTGGGACCTAGCACCCAGGCAGCCCCCTACACAATGTGTACATATACCCCAACGCGCCCCACCTTCCCACACATACTCTTCTCACATGACAACTCATGAAAACTCCCTATGTGGTCCCCAGGCCCAAATAATTGCCCACCCTTGTCCTAGATCCAAAAGAAGTCACTTAAGAATAAATCTTTCCCACTGTTTTGCTGCTGACAATCAAGCACTGATATGCTCAGATAGTCCATAAATATAGTGTCATGCAGTTATTATTGATTCCTTGTATATGAATGTGCATGTTGGCATGGACCCTTACAAGTGCGTGTTTTCAGTGAGCACCAGTGAATGGAGGTTCTCTTCTAGGAAAACAGAGATGAATAATTGCCTATTTGTTATTTCCCTTTAGGGAGTGCTTTTGGATCAGTGCTCACCCACACCATTTTCCCCCAATGTCCTATAGTTCCAGCACGCCACTCCTTGTGACAATGCTACATTCTCTTGGCCACTTACCTGGTATTTAGCCAGCAGTTTGCTCCTCCACAGTGAGTGGGGGATATCATGGATGGAGAGGCGGAGGTTGTGATAACTGTCCTTAAAGAGCAGTGGCTTGGGTTCCTCTAGCAGATAACCGCCCAGCGTCTTTTCCAGTTCAAGCACTTCCTATGTGATAAAGGGAGGATGAGAGCCATGGTATTAAAGATCACACCTAGTCAAATGGAGAATGTGAGGTTTTTATTATTTTTCCCCCTTTTGACAGCACTGTGTCCACAGTGAGCCCTGCCCAAACCCCAACAAAATCAAAAAAGCAACTACAAAACCTACATCCAAGTGGTAAGTATGTTCTGAAGGCTTTGACATAATGAGTTGTGACTGGTGCCAAATGCAAACCAACCAGCTGGGGAAAAAATGACAAGAAGGATGACCTCAAACATCTAGCCTCAGTAATCAGGAGAACACAAGAAAATTCTGATTCACAACGCAGGCATCTCTCTCAGAATTAGACCATTTAAACAGGTGCAATGAAAATTCTCTGTCTGAAAAAGCAAGTGTACAGCATCCTGCAGTACAGTGATACAGAACAGACTAGACAATGCTTACAGCCTTTGAAGTGCTTCTAGAGGGCCTCTTTCTTGGTCATTAGGTTCTCTGTAAAGGGATTATCACTTAAAAGCTACCCTGGTTCAACAGAATATGGCTTCTTAGGCTAAATCTTAGTGAACACAAATTAAAACAAATGCATTTTTACCAATGAATTATGATGTATCAACAGCCCACAGAATGAATTCCTACAGTTACCCAAAGAGCTACAACACAGGGAGCAGCAGCTCACACTTTTCTTCCAGAAGTCTGTGCCTGCATGCCTGACTCCAAGATCACCTCTAGAGGGTAGATGGGAATGCACTTCCCATACCCATTCTGTTCTTGGCTTTTCTGCTTGGAGTTTCAGCTACGAAAGGCTGTTTGATGATATGGACACCTGTTTCCTGGGAACTGGACTGAATCTACCAACATATTTCAAGGAGGCTGCCAGTCGCCAGATGGGAATATCTTTCCAGTTCCATTCTGATTTTGTTTGAGCAAGCTAGAGATGGGCATCTGCATATTCAGACACATTTTTCAGGGTATCGGAAGGTTTGCATTTCATTGTCAGTCAGACTACCTTATCACAGTATCTCATCTTTCTCTGCCACAGTTTTGTACCACTACTGTGCTCTGGTGATGGCATGAATCAAACATAGGCACTTGGTGGTTCCTAGAACATCTTTTCCATACATCACCACTTTAAAATTTTATTACACAGAAAAATAATGTCCAGAAGCCAAGAGCAGAACTCTTTCTAGCACTGCTAGAAAGAAAGGTCCAGCAGAGCTAAATAGAAAGTGTCTCAAACTGCCAGGCTGATAAGGGATGTACAAGAACTACATTTTCATAGTACTGTGATCACAAACATCACAGATGGGCTCACAAGAAGGTCTAAAGTAACAGGACATTGTGTCAAAGCAGAGATAATAAGAGCTGCTTAGCAGAGTGTAAGCATGACAGAAAGTGCCCAGGTAGGGAAGATCAGCACAAAAGGACGTGAAAAATCTTTCAGCGGCAACAACAAGAAAACCCCTTGTGTAATCTCTACAGAAACAGGGCACAGCATGCAGGCTCTGAGCCACCCTCCCTTCCTCTCAACATTTCCTCCCAGGGACTATGGAAAATGCTTTGGCAGATCTCAGGGGAATGCAGTAAACGTGCTTATTATTTAATGTTGGTCATTTTTCATGGGGTTGCATCAGGTGTTTGCTCCCTGGAGACAGGGCTCTCCTAGAGACTTTACCCAGCATCTTGCTGCCAGCAGGACCACATCAGGAAGCACTTGCAGAAGCAGCTTAAAATAATTTGTAGCCCAAACACTGAGACTGAGGCAGCTGGAACAGCAGTGTCCAAAGGCAGTTTACACTTGCAGCAAGTTTGGGGTTAACCAGCTATGATGAGCCCCATCTACAGCTGGTGTAAATCAGCCTAAGTCCTTTGCAATGAATAGAACTGTGCTGATTTATACCAGCTGGTGACCTGGAGCAAACCTGGTGGCTGGGAACCACCTAAATACATATCAAGCTAAAGAGTGCTCAAAAAAAGGTTCAAAAGACCTCAACATCATAGCAGATACACATCAAGTGCAGTAGAACCCCCACCCCAAAAACCTCTGAGAAATATATGAGCTCCCACAAAATAGCATTGGGCTCATGAAAATGGATGTATGTTTGGAGCTCACTGGGACCTGCCAGGCTCTAAGCTAGTTTGCTTTTCCCTTGTCATGAAGCAGAGTGCTTATACAGTTAATCATTGTTTTTGTCTTGCAGTCTTTGAAGGAGAGAGAGATAGAGAGTAGCAAGAGATTCTCTGCTCAGACAAACATACTTCTTTAGCTTTCTGATTATTCATATTAGGGTTGTCAAACACCGTTCTCTGTTCTATGGTGAAATGATCATGAAGTGCCCCAGGCACTAAAAGATGGCTGGAGACAGGAAGAAGTAAAGGTGGGGCCACTGACTTGTGACCTCAGATTCACAGGCAGTGTTACCTTCAGGGCATCTGGGGTATCCTCCAAGCAGTAGACTTTGATGCTATATTCTAGCGAGGTACAGATGGCAGGTGCAAAGATGGCTAGTTGGAGTCTCTTGATGGCTGATCTGGAGTATGACTCTCCCACAAAAACATAGGTGCCCAGATGGTCCAGTAAGATATGGCAAGACTTGGATTCAAGCTGGCAGTAACAAGGAGTGTTCAGAGTTTCTTCATCTAGTGTCACAACTTCCTGAAAGGAGATGTTAAAAAGGAAGGCCCCTGATCAGCCATTTTCTAGCAAAGTAATTGGTTCCATGTATGCACATGGAAAAGCCCCTGCTCATCCTTCACTATGGCACCTGTTGTAGGGAGGCAGAAAGCTAATTCTAGACTAGCTATGGGTCTCCCTTGCAGACGTCAGTGCTCCTCCATCATTCCATTCCTACAAGGACCGCAGTTGGGAGCTTCCCACACAACCAGACCTTCTATTCTTTCTCCTACAGCAGACGGTTCCTTACAGCAGCCCTCAGTCCTTCATGTCCTACGGCACCTCTTGGCAAGAGGCTGCAAACTCTGATGACATTCTGCTTTCACTTCATTATGAAATTGCATTGTTACCTCCCAGTTTCCTTGATGGGATTGTGTTTTCAGTTGAAAAATCCAGTCTGAAGAGCTGATATCCACGCAGTGAGGGATAGTTAAAATGACTGGGCGGCACAATAGCAATCCAGTGGGTCCACAGGTCACCATAGGACTCAGTACTGTCTGTGTGCCTTCAGAAGGTAAACTACAGAGAGCAAATAAACACAGAAAACAATTAGTCTGTTCCAATCAAGGCATGTACCTGAAGGAAGGAATGTTTGTACAGTGGGGACATGGACGGCTCTCAATTCATGGCAGGATCTAAACTTGATGGGCCTGGTTCTTCATTATGAAGTCAATGGAGGTACAACAGAACAAGGATAGTGTTTTGCACAAGAAGATCCACTAAACCATGGCTAAAGGCACTGGGTTCCTGTATTGTTTTTGGTAAGCAAATACTGGTGATTGGAATTACTGTATTTATTGACTATAGTTCCATAGACATACAGAAACACTATAAAAGAGCTAAGTGGAGAAATGTTTGGCTGAGGATGGACCTGCTGAACAGCAAACAGACAAGTGGTCAAGAAATTCCATGTCTGCAGTGCAGCCATTATTTTTAGACTCTACACTGGCCTCACAAGAGGCCCAGGCCCTGTGCAGTGATCCCCTGACAATGCATCACAAAACAAAGACAAGCAGAAGAAGGGCTCTTCCTGCTCCATATTATCAGGCCACAGAACAAGACTTGCTTTACTCTTGTCTCTTCCCTACATTACTGACATCAGTCTCCCACACTTTGGAGTGCAGAAGGCAAAAAAATCCTTCCTATTAGCTACTGAGCCCAGAGGAGAAGAATTGATGATATACAAAGCAAAGAAGAGGACATAGCTCCTGACTGAAAGAACTTACAATCAAATGTATAAACCAGTTCAATTAAGACATGTGGCAACAAATAATATTTACCATGAAGCAATATCTTTTGTCCCTTTCTTTCTTTCATTTTCTTTCTTTTTTTACTTTTAATCATGAATAAAGAAATGCTTATCTGGAAAGTCAGTAGAAGAAATGCTGACTTAATGAAGAAAAAGTAGATGCTTGTTTTAAAAAGAAAGATGGGGTGCTCCAGCAGAAGCACCCATGAAGATGAGGATGAAGATACAAAGAGTGTGTTTATAATAAATGCCTGGTTGAATAAAGGAACAAGGGAAAGAGTAGCAGGAAATGCAAACTGAGATGCAGGCAGGTGCAGAGGGAATTGAAAGTATTGCTGTCTCCTTCAAATGATAATTAAAACACTACCAACTAGAGCTTGCTCTATGGTGAATTCCACTTACAGAGTGTTTTCTGCCTTGTTGATGATCAGGTACATTTCATAGAACTTCCCCTGAGGAATCGCTCCATGAGGCACCAGCAGGCTCACTCCTAAGGGATGGGAAGCAGAATTCTTTACAGTAAGGAAGTGATGATGAATGAACCCTCCACCCCTCCTGCTGCCAATGAGGTTACTCTCTTCATGGGTTACTTTCCCACATGAGGGATGATATACAAACTCAATTAGGAGATTCATCTGCATGATGACAACATTGCTTTAGAACTTGCAGTCTCCTGCCATGCCAGTCCAAAGCTTCCTGGGATCTGGGATTGCCTTGGCTGGTGTGACACCTCAGATATTATTTTGAACCATCTGTACCAGGACTGGGGGGCCTATTAGAATCAGAAGCAGAGTCAGGCCTTTGTACTCTAAAGCTGGTGAGAGCAGAGAAACCACCAACCATTGGATTCTTGTTCAGCTAGTGGTTTAAAAGCAACTAGTCTTACACTTATGGGAGAGCCTAATGATTTTGGACCAGCCAAAGATAGAAATGCCTCCAGATAATATGCAGTCAGGAAGCCTGACTTTTACCATAGAAACAACTTGCAAGGAAACTATTTTTCTACATTGCTCCTAACAAGACACAATTGAAGTAACAAAAAACATCATAAAATGGTGGCCACCACACTCTGGTTATCAAGGGAAGGAGAGATTGGGTTCAGAGAAACATCTTTCATTCCTAGTCCAGCCAAATGGTCTCAACACCCATCTGTGAGTAACCTACATCAGACTAGATCAGACTAGATCATCCCAATCTAGTGCTTACCTGTATCTGGGATTGTAAGCCTTCCTCCCAGGTAACCAAATGTTCCACTAGCACTGTTCCCATGCTCACGAAGCTGGGTGAGGAGATGTTGAGAGCCCATGGTCTTGTTCCTTATGTTCATGAAGTGATTGTCCCTGGCAGTCTCCCCTGAGTAGGTGCCTATAGGCACTGCCCCAAGCAGGTCTGCTCCTTCATGCAGCCCAGGGGAGGATGACACTGTGGAGGAGTTATACACTTTGATCTTAAGATTGGGGAGTGGGTCAAGGAGGGGGGAGTTGGTCATTGGGATCTTGTCAGATGAGTCCTGTAGAGCATACATTGGGCCCCGGTATATACCAGCACTGGCAGTTAGGTCAGGCTGCATTGAAGGGTGCAACAGCTGAGGTGTATCTACAAGAAAGACAAAAAAAAGTATTACAACAAAGCATGTTTAAACATAGCTCAGTTTAATCAAAAGAGATTTGTGTGAAATATGGTGTAATGATGGGCAGAAGATATATAAGGTATTTCCCTAGGTAAAGAATACTGTGAAACAAGAGGCTGGAGCATGGAATCTGAACGCATCTGTCTCCCTTTTATCCATTATTTGAAACGAAACTGCCTGCACTGAGAAACAGGCTCGACCCCTTTAAGACTAGGTAAGAAACTACATCATTCTGCATGTCCAGACAAAAAGAATCTAAAAGCAACAAGAATCTAAAACAACTTGACTCCCCCGTAGTTCGCTAAGGACTCTACAATTTATTCTTTACCAGACTGCTGAAACACACCGCATTCTCTCTACTTTCTATCATTTGTCTTTCCTTACTATTTGTATGTCTGTATGTACAGGAATATGCCAATGTCAAGTCCCTCTAATGTTAGGCACAAAACAAATGCATGTTTATATCACATGGCTTGATTTACTTCTATAATTCACAAAACTGGTTTAAAACCTCTGGGCAGTTGTGCAGGGAAAGGTATTTGTTTTTCATGGAGGATTTTGATATTTGGAATCTGATTTTGTTCTGATTCAGAATGAAAACCAAAGATTTCCCTTATGAAAGGAAAATCCAGGGTGCCTAACTCAGTGTCTGAAATGGCAGCCTACCACATTGGAAACCTGAGTGTCCTTCTCAGCAGGAGTCCTAAAGCATGGAGGTCTGCAGCTCCAGGGAACCTGGAGACCTGGATTCCTCAGCAGCACATCTGGTGGGCCGTCAAGGAGTTTGGCTGGTGAGCTTGCAAGAAACCAGACAAATTTTGAAAGCTGCCTTGTAGGGAGGTTTCCCTGGAGTCCTGCCCAGTTTCCAGAGGAATGTCATTGAAATCAAACTCACGCTCACCAAGGAATCTTTCAGTTTTGATGAACCAGCAAATTGTAACTGAAAAATTTCATTGTGTTTTTTTTTTTTTGGATTAAAACTACTTGTGATCTCATTTAGTTGTATGATTCGTCATTTGTCCTGCCCTGACTTGACGTATTCTCTGTCTTCCATGGAAGCTGGTGGGAAACACTCAAATGGAATCTGATCTGGTCAGGTTAGTGTGCAAGGCAGACAGATTTCTCTCTCTCCTATGGACACTACTGTATTTATGGATAAGGAGTGGAATGAAAGTAGAAAATGTCTCTGAAGGCTCAAACCTGACGGGATCAATGCCTCATTTTTCATACAAATTCTTATTTTATGTTCATCTGAAACAAGTTCTGGACCAATTTAATGCTCACAAAACATGCCAGACTTGTACATGTGAAGAGCAGAGGCAGCTGAAACACAAGTTTTCTTGTGCTGTCTTGTCAGTGTGCTCAATCCTGAACTTGTGGATTACCTCCAGGGATTTGAGAGTAATTTGGTTTCTGGGCCCCTGCAAAGACTTCTAGTGGAGTTGCCAATTAATTCTGGTTTAGGAGGTGACTTCGGTGAGGTGAGGAACTGGCTCTCCCACATTCCAATTTAATGTTTCTTATTTTATGAAAAAAACGACTCAAAACAAATGTCTGTAGATAAAGGAAGCCTATTCTTTCCCTGAATATGAGCCACAATTTACTCTGATTTCATCTTTTTCTGGGAGATCCAAGATACCAATGGATTTGCTATGAAGAGGCAAGGTATCTGTTTCCTTCTTACCATGACGGGAAGTCTTGAAGTTGACTGGGTGAAAGCCACCTGTTAGGGCAGCTGAGGAGTCTGTGATGTCAGTGTCAAAATCCCGGCAATTCCGTCGATACACAACCACCCCAACCGCCATCAGGATAACGACAAGAACAAAGACAGCCACAACTAGGCCGGCATATAGAGCCACGTCCCCTGTGGCCTCCAACACTGGGAAGAGGAGAGAGAGGAGTAAGAAGGGCAGTCCTGGTTTTGCATTAACCTATAGCCCAAACGGTATTATCCACATAAGGGTTACTGGAAAACCAGCTTATGATCTTTGCACAAAAGAAACCACTTGTTCTAAGGTTTCCCCGGAATGTTAGGAAATGTTGAGGGTGGGGAGAAGGTAGCAAGGGTTCAAAAGATGAGTTTGAAAAATAAGAGGAACATGAAAATGCCTTACATTGTTTATTTTGTTGGGTTTTCATGGGAAAGAAAAAAGGAACAGAGTTAGCAAGACAGTGGTGGACCCTCTCATCTTCTGGACTTTGAGAGAAACTTCATTGTTTCACAAGGCCATCATTCAACAGTGTTAAGTTTAAGCATTAAAACACAAAGATTATGCAATTTAGGTCTCTCTATAGTTGCTTACATGGACAGCCCTTGCTTTCTAACAAAAATTATGCTGGAGGGGCATATAGATATTCTATAGGCATATAACATGAAGATCAAGAATCAATATGTATGTTAACATTCATGTTACCATGTGTGCGTGTGTGCACACACACATATAAACACATCCTATGACACTTGATCTTTGGACTAGCCTAGTCTCTGGTGTAAGGGAGCAGAAGGAAAACAATCTGCCTGTACATGGAAGAGCTGATAGTGGGCTAACAGGGTTACTGCTTGGAGAAGACGCCATAAAATGATAATAGCATCTTCCATATCAGCTCAGCCTTAGCAGATACTTCATCTGAAATCAATAGATTTCTTGTTTTGCCCCCAACACAGTTTAGTGTCAAAGACAAGATCTGCACCCACCATTCACTGCAGTTGAGTGCTTCAGATCAGGCCATGTTAGAGAATCAGATGCTGTGGTCTCTGAGGCACAGAGACATCTTAACCATACACATGGTCTCTACCCCGCTCCCTTTTCTTTAATTTTTTCCCAATTTCCAAGTTCTCTTTGTTTTCATGGTTTCTTATTTCCATAGGCCCTATACACCAAGCCTGTGGATCAAGGCCAGTTTTTTTGCAATTCTTTTAATTTCTGGAACCTATTTATTATGGTGTGTACACCTGCATACAGTGTGGCTGCTTGAGAATTTCTATCTCACAGGGAGAATTGCAGAAACGTTCTAATTTGACGTCAGCAAAATATTTGGGAACTCACATACACAAAAGCCTGAAAAAACCCAAGCTCTGCAAGTCTACCCTCTGTAGGAGTGGGAGGATTCCACAAGGACTCCCAAGGGAAAAAGGACAACACCTAGCTCCACCTCTCACCCTGGTACTACCATCAAAATGATTTGCCCCTGTTTTCAAACGGGAAAACATTTAAGGAAGTTATGCAGTCAAGCAGTCCAATGCAACAGTGCAGCCTAAAATTGTTCTGATTTATGAGGAGAATACAGTGCCCTTCTTGTGTTAAATTCACTCCATCATCAAAAAATGCACTTTAAAATACATACCCCTTACAACCAGAATTCACATAGGATCATCAGTGCTCTACAAGGAGCCCACATTATTAAACCCTACACTGCTGACGTGACTGGATGTACTGCCATGTACATCCAGTAAACCACATTAACTACACTGCTTCTGCTTCATTGAAACCGTGCAAGAGGAAAATATCATTTGTTGAATAGAAAAGGACAAATCTGGCAAGCCAAGGAGCATTATCTCTGAAGCTGCTATGTGTGTTTCAGAAACAATGGCTTTATTTTAGGGGAAAAACAACATCTAAGTCTTTGTTCTGGGGCAAAAGGAGGAAAAAAAATTCAGCCCCCTTCTCCTGCTCCTCAGCATATAAAAGATATGAAACCAAATGGCCTTGTTTATGCTAAAGCACTTTCAATGGAGTCACTTTGCATTTATTGGGTTGCACCTGGGAACAGAGCTTAGCGCACAGACACAGCAAAGGAACTGATGGAATACAAGTCAAATTTGTGAGCCCTTGAATTTGACAGCATAACCATCTTTTTAACATCTTCTAAACCTTACTGGCATAGATCAACTGTTCTCTCCCTCCTTCACTCACTGGAGCAAGTGCTGGGACCCACCCTTGGAGATGGAACTGTCTAGTTCTGGGGCTTAGTACTGCCATGGATGAAACAGAAGGGAAAAAAACAGTAACAAATTAAAATGCATCACAGTGAAATAAAATGGCCATGAAATGGAGACTTACAGTGACTTTTGGGTTCGCTTAGAACTCTTTTATCTGTTAGGAAAAACAAAGTTAAAAAGAAATGGTAAAAATGCTGAGGGTGATGATGACAAATGATACAAACAGCAAATGAAGGCAAAGGGCACAATGAGATGCAAAAGCCATGAAATACTTTGGAAAGAAGTCAGAGCCTTGGGCTCCTTGAAACTCCACTAAGCCATGCAGAAGCCTTGGTCATTCAATAGCTTTAGGAAAGCAGACGTGTAACTAATCCCCCAACCCTGCCAGCTTTTAAGGATTATGGGCCTTTTGTGCCCAGAGTTCCTTCACATCCTATGGGTTCCGAGACAGAAAGGGTTAAGGGTTTAGTGCTCACTGATCACAGGGTGCCCAGTTCTTGGGGCCATCCCTTCACTTTTAGAGAATGCAAGGGGGCTCTATTGGCTTAGCTGAGTTCCAAGTCTCACTCATTTGCAGAGACTTTATAATGACACAATCTCACCACAGAAAGCCATTCATCCTGCCATAAGCAGTGCATCCTATGGTTTGGCTGTCCTTTTAGTTGACATTCCCTTGCAATGGATGAAGAGGCGAGAGCCTTTCCTTCCTCCCCATGTCACTAGTTGCTCAGTCCCTGCACAGGAATGCTACCTCTTCTCTCAAGCTTTCCCATCTGATTTAATCTTAACTTTCCTATCCCCATTTTCTCTCTCACTTTTTTATTTTAATCTGCTTGTTGGTTCTCTTCAGCTTTTTGCCTCTGGCATCTCCTCATCTTTCCTTTCTCTCATTCAGCCAACAGCTCTGTACTCCTGGAAGAAGGCCACAGCCTCAGTGGCTGGATGCATGGGCATTTCTAGGGTTACAGAGAATTGTCTGTGCACTGTGCAGAGTAGAGAAGCCTGGATGTTAAGCTGCTGCCTGAGCCTGTACACGTACACACAAGCTTGTCTCATGTAATCTGCATTAGGAGCCACCAAAGGAGCCAGGGGAAAACGTTAGTACCATGCAAGACATTTGTAGCAGGGAGGATCTAGGTTCTGGGAGTATTTCCTACCACCCAGTGCTTTGTTTCTTTCCTCCTCCACACCAGACATGTGCCCATCCCTCATCCTGTAGGCTGGAAATCAGTACCTCAGACATAAGAATTTTAGTCCTTTATCTGTTAGGATTTCTAAAAACTTTGCTTTGTCTGGTTTGCTGGTGCTCAGAGCTAGCAGCATTATGTAATAAGAGTTTTTTCCCTCCCTTAACTTCACTTCAGCTAAAGCCTTAAGACAGGGCATGGATCAGCACAATGGCTCACAGGACTGCATTGATGATCACAGTGAAGCTGGTTTGAGTCAGGTGGGAGGACTCTTACTCAGCTACAAGTATAGCAGATAACCGGGTTCCTATGTAAATCTACAAGAAGTTGTTACTTCCTGCCTTTCATTTCATATTCAGAAGCCCCTTTGTATGGTCTTTCCTTGGCTCTTTGGTCCAGGGCATGAAAGCCCTGGGCAAGGACAGCTATCTGTAGTGGGCTTAGGTACAATAATCCTCCCCACTCCTATCCATGCCTTTTATATTTGTGCTGCAGGCCTATCTTGACCACGCTGTTATCTGCCTTCCTTTCTTTCCTGGCATCTCTTGACTTTTCAGTGTTAACAGCCTGCAGCAGGTTGACACAGAGCATTACCTCACTCTCCCTGCAAGCTAGACCTGACCTCTGCTTCCATGATGCCTTAATTTACCCAGCAATGAGCTTCTACCAGGCCAGAGGCTATTGGCTGATGGGATGAGCTCCTTGGAAACCACATCTGTGAGCAGGGTGTCCCCCTCCCTTTGCTCAGTGCCAGCATGAACTGACCTGGTGAGTTTATTGAAGATGACAAGAATGCAGTCATACAGGGGGTATGATGCATTCTTAATTCATTCTTCAAGGAGGATTATAGCGCAGGGGGCATTCAGGGCCATGGCAAACATGTGGAATGTAAGTCGCTAGGGTAGATATCACCACTGAGCCAGCAGGGGGTAGCACTGGCATGATCCTGGGCAACAGAGGAGAAGACTTTTCAGACCTATCTCACATGGGTAACACCTCCGTGTAACACCTTACAATGTCTCCATTAACAATGCAGCTTGTACTGTTCTAGAGCTGCTGGTCTTGAGATTCCACTAAGGAATGGGATGTGTCCAAGCCAAGGCCAAGGACTTCTAGTTTGACCCAGGACACATCATATTCCTTGCAGAGAGACCTGTACCAAGTTTGCTTTTCAGAATATTCAGCCAATATATATAGATCCCAAATGGGTAACAGTAAATGTCCAACCCCTTCTCAGCTCTATTTGAACCTGAGAGGAGAAAGTTAAGAGCAGAGGTATTTTGCAGGGCTCTGCCTCAGTCTGTGTGCTGGGACACAAACTACTCTATAACAATAGATTAAACTAAAAAAAAGTCAATCCTTTCACTACCAAGAGATTTAGGTCAAAAATAAAATAAATTTGCAAGATTCCCTTTCACAGCAGGGCACAAACATTGTATAGACCCAGAACCACCTGGGTATGTGCCACTTCCATTTCTCACGGATGTCAGAGGAGAGATAGGAGTGCTCAGCGTATGACACCTTGCAGGACGGGCCTGTGTCAGGAGTGACTGACAGTTCTGGTTAGTGTGAGAGGCAGGTTCAGGATGGGAACACCCAAGAGCTGTGCCACCATCTGTCACATCACTAAAACACAGTGAACTGAGGTAAAACCTGCACTGGTGCATTATCAAAGCTTCCGCTGCTCCTGCATGGCTCCACTTCTGTGGATCTAAATGAAACTTTCCACACAGGAAAGTCAGGCTGCATGATTATCTTTCCAGGCCAGTGACAGATCTCAGTTGGGAGGTCTTGAGATGGAGGCATACATGGATGTGCAGAACAGGGAAGTACAAGAAGGAATCATGGAAGAAATTCAGGATAATAATCCTGTAGAGGCATATTTAAAAGCATTTGGCCTTCTGCCCTCCATTTCTGGCAGTTCCTTTCCCTTTGTCAATATGCATTGATTTTTTTACCCTGATACAATTCATGCTTTTTGAAAGTTAATGGACTCAGTAGTGATGAAAACAAATGTCTTCTTTTATATGCATGGGCCAACAAGCTGCAGGGAACATTCTCTCCCTTCTCTGCAGCAAGTGACTTCCATCTTGACATACACTTTGGTCCAGTTTGTTCCTAAATCTCTATTGCTTAAAGCTTGCTGCCAAAATACTCTGGAGGACAATGGATGTAGTGAGGTTGGGTGGGGGTGCCTGAGTAGAGATCAGCCACATGCAAGTCACTGGTAAGAAGACAGGTGCCATAGATCAGATAAAAGGCTGAGGCTTTACCCAGGGAACCATGCAGTCCATTTTTCATCCATTTTTGGGTCTTTATTCAATTGCCCACCCGAACAACCTGTACCCTGAAGGCTTGCAAACAACCAAGCAAACTAGAGGTAGCTATATCAGAATTCAGTGATAGTATTGCCATGATACTATGATTTGAATCACTGTCTTGAATTGATTCGGCCAAATCTGGTTTGAAGACTCGGCTGCTGCCGAAACTCCAAATCAGCCAGGTCCATCCCCTGCCCACCCTTCCAGCCCAGCCATGCCTGCCCCACCCCCCCCAGCTCCTGGCACTTTGAAAAAAAAAAAGTCCCGATTCACCGGGTGCTGCCAGGCGGGGGAGGGGGGGCACGATCCCCACTGCCCCCTACTGCCCCACACTGTATGGGGGGCTCTGCTTGAGTCCCCTGACCCCTCCCACACTGTCTCAGCCCCTCCCCCCATGGCTGCCCTGCCTGCCTCAGCTCTGGCCTTTTAAGGAAGAAAAAAAAAAGGGGGAGTAGACTGCCCGGACTCACTGTCCCTGCTGCCCGCCACTGCACAAGCCCCCTGAAGCCCTGAGGCCGCTGCAAGAGCAGCAAGTCCCGGGGTTTTTCTTGTTTTTTTTTTTTTTCTGAAAGAGCCAGAGCTGGGG